ACAGGAAAGATGGGAACCAACCTTTCACAGGGCCTGTCGGGACAGGACAAGGAAGAATGGTTTCCAACTGTAGGAAGGTCGATTTACATTAGATATAAGGAAGGGGAATTTTTATAACGAGGGTGGAGAAACAGGCGTAGAGGTGGTGCATGCCCCATCCCTGGAAACATTAAAGGCAAGGCTGGATGGGGGTTTGAGCAACGTGATGTAGTGGAAGGTGTCCCAGCACATGAAAGGTTCCTTCCAACGCAAACCATCCGTGATTCTATGGTTCAGAGCAGGGCCAAGCTCCACGGGAGCCGCGGCATTCCCGGGATGCGGCGCCTCCCTCTCCCGTCCCGCTGGAAACCGCCTGCTGCTGCCCCCGCGCGGCGGGACCGGCCCCGGGGAACCGGGCACCCCTGCTCCCCTCCGGGACCGGGGAACCGAGCACCCCTGCTCCCCTCCGGGACCGAGGAGCCGATCACCCCTGCTCCCCTCCGGGACCGGGACCGGGGAACCGAGCACCTCTGCTCCCCTTCGGCACCAGGGAACCGGACACCCCTGCTCCCCTCCGGGACCGGCGGGGCCAGGGCAGAGCCCAGTGCGGGGGGCTGAGCCTGCCTGAGAGCTGTGCCTCTAAGCTCAAGGGCGCAAGGAGCTATCTGTCCAGCGATCTGTCCAGCTATCTGTCCAGCTATCTATCCAGCTATCTATTTCCTGCCTCCCTGACCACCAGAGCAGGATGTCAGGCAGTGCGGGGGGCTGAGCCTGCCTGAGAGCTGTGCCTCTAAGCTCAAGGGCGTAAGGAGCTATCTGTCCAGCTATCTGTCCAGCTATCTATCCAGCTATCTATTTCCTGCGTCCCTAACCACCAGAGCAGGATGTCAAGTATTGTGGGCATTCCCTTCCCTTCCCTTCCCTTCCCTTCCCTTCCCTTCCCTTCATCAGAAGGGCAGCAATACTTTCATCTGATTTAGTTTTTTATTTTTTAATTGGAATTTCAGTACCACTGTGGCTCTGTCTTGCACAGCTTTTAGCATTCTGTAAACTTCTTGAAATAAGGGAAAATTTCCCACCTGCAGCTCCCTAAGGTGGCAAGTGTGCTCTTCCTGTCCAACACCAAGCTCCTCCAAAAGCTTGTGTGTGTGTGTTATTTCTTCTTGGACCAAATGAAAGCACACCCCACATGGAAGCTCTTTTAACTATTAGATTTATAGAGCATCACTAGATATATAACCCCAAATCACTGCAGTTAAACAGCCTGTGAAATTCCTGCAAGCATATGAGAGAACACATGAGGACAAAATGGTGAGCACAACTTTTCCCTTGCATTTTTAATGCCTGAAGCAAGCGTTGGTTCCCCAGCAGTTGGTGCAGAGAGAGCTCCCTCTCCTGCTGAAAATTCTCTTTAGCCCCTATCCACCCGTGGGAGACGTTCTATTAGCCAGCATTTACAGGGCCATGGCAATAGCAGAAGCCATAAAAAACCACATTTAAATGGACATAGACACACAGCACTGATAATTTTGTTCATCTCCTGTACTATTTGCAAGAGAAAAAGTCAGTTTTTGATTTCTTTTTCCTACTACAGAAAGACTATCCCTGTCAACAGAAATCATCCAGCTTGCAAACAATTCATCTGAGAGCCTGTCACTTCACTAAAAAAGCCAGAATACCCTGGAATAATTGTATTGTCTGCTGCAAGGGATCAGTGATTTGACAGTTCTAAGCAGGTGAGATGCTCCTGCAGGCAGGTGACCCCGAGCAGTGCTGAGGCACCAGGTTTGCACTGCGAGCTGCAGCTGACTCAGGGAGGATTTTCCAGGAGCATCCACGTCCAATCTCATCCAGTTTCACTGTCACAGTGTCTCCTATAAATAGGGTAAATGCTCCTAATAGGTAGCAAAGCGAGTGGGATTTCAGAGCAGCTGGAGAAATCATTGAGCCTGCATGGAATGGCTCTGTTATACCAGGCTGCACCAGCAATTTCAACTGGCTGTTTATACTCCTCTGAAGACTTTGCTATTTCCCACTTTTTTTCTTTCCATTTGATCTGATTTGTAACTAATAATCCTAGCTTTATAAAACAGGAGGTGTTGACATACGGTACATTTTAAAAAGCTCTTTTCCAAGTGTCAGAAACCCATCCATCTTACCAAAACACAGCCATGGGTGTAAATCCTCCTCAATCAAGAGGAGGAGTTCAGAACAGCAACTTGGGCGTAACAACAGAGCTGATTGTAACACAAGGTTTTCACTTCCTAGGGACATTAATAAGGAAAAGAAGGAGCCAGTGACAGTAACTGAATCAGGCTGGAAGGAAAATTGGTTGATTTTTTGGTGTGAATCAGCAATCCAAGAAGAGGATGCTCCAGGGCAGAGCTGGCAGCAGCCCTCTGCCTCCAGGATGCAGCTCAAGCCTCCGGGCTGTCTCTGCTGCTATGTACAACAAAACACAGAGATTTGAGAGTCCTTGAGCAGCCTGAATGCTCAGGGGCTGCAAAGTGAGGGTCCCATTGCTGTAGTGCAGAGTGAGATGCAATCCCCCAGATCCTTCTACCCCCACTCATCTGAACCTCATCCAAAACATCCAAAGCTCTCAGCTCCCTCAAGGCCTCTGCACCCTGCTCTGTGCCCATAGCCAGCTTGCCCTCGGGGTGAATCCGTGCTGCAGGAAGTGTTTTCCATGGATTTAACAGATGGGTGAGCTGAGATGGGGGGTGAAGTGTGTCATTTGGGGCAGAAGTGGAAAGGGAGGTTTGTTGTTCCACTCCTCCTCCATCGTGACCACCCTCTCCATCTGTTGACACTTCAGCACACGATGCCAATTCCAGTGTAACTCCGATTAGTCTGCAGAGTGCTGCATGTTGATGTTGTGGTTTGATACTTGGAGAGCTCTGTGAAGATATTTAATTAGACAAAATTAATTCCTTTGAGAACAACCTTCTGGCATCATTTTGGAAAGTGCTAGGAAGCTTCTTTTGTTCTGACACTTGTTAAAAATTGGCATTAGCCATTTCCTAATTTATTTTTGAAAGGACAATCAAGCTACATTGCTTCCCAGGTCAAATGGGAGCTGTGATCTGCCTGCCAGCAGCTCTGTCAGAACATGAGGTGCCAGACCTCTTCACCAAAAGTCACTTCCCACAGCTGTTGTCACCCTGAAAGGTTTCTGCCTGAGTGGTCAAGTTCTTTGGCCTCTTTCTTCCTGTCCCTTTTTTGACACCTTCACAGTGATTGTGGGGTCTGATGATGACAAGACAAGACACAGTAGGAAGGGAAGCATCAGTGGTGACCTTGCTGGCCAGCTCTGCAAGGGGACATCCCTTACAGCCACCTGATGGGGAGTGGGAGGTCAATGGGTGCCCCTCTCCCTCTCTGCCTTCTCCTGCAGTCACACTGGGATACTGGAATTTCTTGTGGGACCATCTGCTGCTAATTCTGCAAACCTCCTACACATAAGGGCCCCGAAGGGCAAAGTCTTAATATGATTAAACTTCAGGAGCTGCAGAGGTCTGTGGCTGCACCTGGTTGGGAGTGAGGAAGGAAATGCAAAACATGCTTTAACCTGGAACAATCCCTGTAAGCCTCTTCCCTTTCACACTGCACCCATGAGGCTCTGGCTGCTTGGGCCCAGTTACATCGTGGAAGAGCCCTTTGGGGTCAGTGCTTGGCAGAAGGGCTGTGTCAAACTGCATATCTTCCCACCAGAGACTGTTTCTTGGATACCCATTTCCTGTCCCAGCTTCCAGTCCCTCCTCTTCTCCCTCCAGGCCTCCACATGGGTTTCTCAGCCTCTTGTCCATCAGTGTCTGTGCAAAATAAAATTGTCATTTCAAGTGTTTGCTGTGGGTCCGTGTGCTTACACTGGGACAGGACATTCCATGGCTGCCTTGTAGGAAGTGAAGGGTTGCAGCAGCACCAGAAGGGATGGTGCTCAGCCCTCTCCTGACATAGCCTGAGCAATGCAGCAGCACAAACGATGTCCATTTTAGTCCTTCTCCTCACTTCCTTTAAATTTGCTCCTTAAAAAGTCCATTCATATTACACTGTAAAGGAAGGAGGAACCTATAGTTAAACACTTCATTAGGGGATGTGTGCAGAGTGCTCTGCAGATGGGATGGCACCAGAGTGTGCCGTGCATTTGCCATTTAAATATAGCTGTATACACACCCCCGGCCTCCTGAATGGCTGAAACCCTCCTCCTAGCAGGTGATCACAAGCCTTTCTATAATTGAAATGAACTTAATCCTGACAAAAACGTAGCAGCAGCTGCTGTGAAAGCTGTGGCTGCTCTCCAAGTATTTCTTACATTCCCCATATCTGTATATTAAAGCGAGACTGATTGCTGTGCTGCACAATCCTGCCACAGAGTGTCTCTTACAAGGGAGCTGCTGTGGTTTAGATTTAAGGGCTTTGTTGTCTTTTTCATAAGAATGCTTTTTCTCTTGTGTGATGATTGCCACACGAGGATCTGAGCTGCTCAGGTATTAATTACTTAAGGCCTGCAACAACACACTAAAGTTAAAGGTAAATACAGATACTGCCTCTCCTTCTCCTGTACACACTATAGAGATACACATGGGTGTTGCCTGAGCGGTGGGATGAAGAAGCAGAGCTGATTTTGGAGGTAAAGTGAGCTGCCAGCCCAGAGGATGTGTGCAGGATGCTGAGGAGACAGCAGCCAGCTGGAACATATGAGAAATTACTGTAGCTGCCCTCCTAATTTAACCTTCATGCCACAAATCTCTCCCTGAATCCCAGTGTGCTGTGGAGGGGTGGGACAAGGAGCAGCCCTTTCTGTAATCCCCGATTTCTCGCCGTTGTTGATTTTTCACTGTCTGCCTTGGCCCCTTTGAGTCCTTCCTCCTCTCCTGTCCCTGGATCTCCCTGGGCTTTGCTGAGTGGGACCTGGCATTCAAGCAGCACAAGCAAAGAGCAACCATCCAGCAACTTCGTGACCTCAAAGCCGAGCAAACCCAGCAGCAAAAACCCAGGGAAAGCGTGGCTCAGCGAGCATGAGACGGACAGTGCTGAGCAGCACCGAGCCCCTGCTCCCTCCAAGCCACGGCAGCAGCGAGGGGGTCACAGCCCGTGATAAATCCTCTGAGCAGGAGGACAACCACCAGAGCCAAGGTGCCTCACCCCAAAAGCCTTGCCTGGGAGCGATTTGTCCGTGGATTCCAGGGCTGGCCGGTCCCTGCAGAGCTGGACTCGGGCTTCCCATCTGCTGTGCTATCGCTGCTTTATGGCTTCGACTCCCAGCACGGAAAACATTAACTCAATCTTCTTCAAACTGTTCTTTAGCCCCGAGCTAGCCCAGGCACACGCTCCCGTTGGCAATGTGACATCCCAGGCTGTTTGAAGGGCAGGACAGAAGATGGTGCTGCCGAGCCAACATATTTTAACAAGAAAACTTCCTGGAGCTGCTGGGTTTTTTGACAGCTCCTGTTCCAAAATAATCTTTGTTTAAACTAAAGAGTTGTCAAGGAGATAAGTTTAAGCAGCACACGAGCTACAGAGAAACATCCCACAGCAAGATCAGGAGCAGATGTGGTGAAATATTGATGGACCAGGATCCCTAATTACATCTCCTACTGAGGAGCTGGCTTGAAATCTGGAGCCTTCCTGCTTTGTATGCGGCACTGTTGGGATAAAGCGATGGGATCCCTTGCAGAGCTACATGGGCAATTGGGCTGGGATGTCTGTGCCTAATGAACAGGCGTCAGCCTTGTGGGAGCTAATGAAATGTTCAGTACAAATGTGTCACCTCCAGGTACCGTCTGTGCCTCGCTCCTGGAGTTTAATCCTCTTCCCCACCGCTCTTCCCCGTGCTCCCTGTTTACTGAATCTTCTCCGTGTAAAACAACAGGGGCAGCCGAAACAGCAAAAAGCACCTTTGATCATCGAACTGGGAGAAATGGTGTGAAGCTCTTAGGCTTTGCATTTATTTATTTATTTATTTTATTAAGACTTATGTTACCCAAAAAAGGCAAATAATTTCCATCCACAGTGCTGGCTGCTTATTTTTAATAGGGAAACTTTAGCTCAAACCGAGAACAGGTATAGGAAACTGGTTTATGTTTCACATCCAGGGTACCCACATGCTTCACAGTTCACCTGCCTGGAATTTCAGTGGTTTGGTGAAAAGAAACATCCTAAATTCAGATGCCTTTTCTAAAACCAATTTACTTGGTGGCTGTAAATAAAATGTCTGTAAAAGAAGGGGCTGTCTCACAGTATTTAATTTCTAACTCACATGGCACCTGTAAATGCAGCTGACACAGGGTGCTGAGCATCGAATGCACAGCGGGACCATGTTCTGCTTTGTCCCTTCTAGCAACCCCACCAATGCTTGGTGAAGTGTGTGTGGCTGACAGGGCTGAAATCAGAACTCATGCTGCCCCTCAGCACATCTCAATGCTGACAAATGAGGCCTGTGCTGTTAATTCCTCTAGGAAAGGTGCCATACCCAGGCACACCCATGGCAGCACAGATGGTGATGGCCATTATGGTCAGAAGCCTTCACTTCTGGCCTTAACACCAGTTTTCTGGGTGAGCTCAGTGGAGCCACTGTGTCTTCTTGTTTTCACTTCACTGGCTCTAGAGCGAGAATAATATTTACCAATTTTACAGGTCACGCTGGAAAGATTAATTAGCTAATGCTCACTGAGTAGTTTGAAGACACAAAGCAAGAAATGCATTCTATAAAATAAATAAGAGCAGTGAAATCCTCATGCATCTTTCTTCAATAAATGCTTATACCATTCTCCTACATCTTCTATCAATCCAAACTCTGGCACTCTCAATATAGGATGATCTGGAATTGCCTCAGTTTCCCCATTGAGTCTCCAGAACAGCATTAACTGGGACAATCACAAGCTTTTACTTATTATTTTGTCCCAGCATTCCTGAACAGGATGGGAATGAGTGTATGAAGATCAAACACAGAGACACCAGGCTCAGGGACTGGCCCTTGAGCCTATAATCCAAAATCACTTAACAGGAGCCTACATTTGTTAAACGAGACCATCAGTCTTCAGCTATTCCTAGAAAAGCTGAAAGAAGAGGAAAAGGCAGCGAATCTTTCAAAACATGACAGCTTTAGAGGCCATCTTTTCCTGAAGCTCCTGTATTTCTCTCAGCATTTTCTGTGCAGCCGGTCATTATGAATTACTAATTACCAGAGCAGGCCAGGTGGGTCTGTTGCTGACCTGCTGTGTAAGCTGGGCAAAAAAATGGGTCTGTCCCCTCTGCATTGACTCCGTGTAAAATATGTGCTCTGAAGAGGCTTGAAGCTTAATATAGGTCTTGTTAAGTGTTCATAAAAGATAGTGAAACCCTTAGATTAAGAGGTACACCAGAGGAGAATGATAGGGTTATAAAACCTATTTCTACACATAACTCATATTTATATAGGGTCTTTCAGTCTAACAGATCCCAAAGTTTTTTTTCAGCATAACACCCTGATATACTGTGTTCACTTCACCTACCAGTTCAAGGCGACCTCCTCTGAAGTGAAATGTGGCAGCTGTTTAAAAGCCCTGAGCAGTAGTAAGTTTAATAATAGGAAGGCATTTATATGGTCTTACAAACTTCAAAGAGTTAATTCTCTTTCCCTTCAGGAGGCAGACAAGGTTTATTATTCCCATTTCACAAAGGCAATATAACAAGAGTGGACAAGAGTGGAGGAAATCTGCACTCCCACAGATTTATAAAGCAAAATTCTGTGCATGAGCCTGAAGTGCTTTTAATCCCACATAGAGAAAACATATCAACATGTCTTATTAAAAAAAGAAATCCTTTTCTAAAAATAATGATGTGGAGAGAGCTCTGATCTGGATTCTAACACCTGCCACTTCTGGTGAAAGAAAACCCTCCTCAAGCACGTGTTGACATAGAAACATCATGGTCCACAAATGCTTCTGTGCCATGAAACAAATTGGGCGCTCAAAATGCACTGCCAGGAATCAGACAATCAGTTTTAAGAGGTCCCAAGAGTTACTAAAACCCTCTTGACATACAGCAGGAGAGAAAGCTGCAGCAGCCCCAATCCCAGAGGCAGCCTGGCATTGTTCTTCCACCACATGTGGCTCCTCAGTTCTCCCCAGCTGGCCCGCATCACACGGCAGTGGTGCTTCCAACGAGCAGGAAAATTTCCTTCTGTTATCCCCAGAGGTTCTGCAAGATGGTCCTGACCTTGGGAAAAGAAAGTCACAAAATTGTATACGTTTAACCACTTACTCATGGGGAACTGGAGTCCCATCCCCAGGTGATATCACTGTTCTCAAATCGTTTCTTGAGTGCAGTCCTGATGCAGGATGAAGTAGGAGCTTAAAAGGAACACCTGATCCCTGGGCCCCACCTTTTCACTTGGTAGCACAGAAGTCCCCAGCTTTCATTCCTCCTATTGTTTCCCAGCAAGGATTTGCCCTATTGCAACTTCCACTCTTATTTGCAGGCCAAAGTGAGAAACATCCTCTTTTAGACCACTTTGATCCCTCAAAATCTGCTTGTCTCTCCCAGACTGCATAGCCTTTGTCACACAGTCTCTGCAGCCTCCCTGCAGCCCTGGGCAGCTTTCGGGTTGGGCTGCAAAGCTGCTTTCAGCTGTGCTGCCCAAGCTCCTAACAAATGGATCTGGAAAATCTTCCATCCAAAAAGCCAATCCCCTTGGTGCCTTGAGTCAGTCCTACAGGGTGAGCGATGCTCGGGGCTGGTGCAGGGTGAGCTGTGGTCTCTGTGTCTGGCAGGATCTAGGACAGGGAACTGGGAGAGATGAACTGACCCATGCTGAGCATCATCAATCCTCCAGCAAAGTGATTTCCATCACGGGAGCACATTTGCTACACGAATCACATCCCATTCATCACTGCTACTGTCTGGATGTAGCTCTGCCAGCCAGGGCTTGGCCTCTCTCTCCAAAAAGCCCCTGATGTGCTGTACAGCAGCTTCACTGTGCAGGACCTGGGTCAGTGCTCCTGCCTGACTTACTGCCCCCTTCCTCACTTCTCAGGAGCTGTGGGAGCTGCTCCCTTTCACCCCTCTGGCTTCACAGTCCCTGGATCAACCTCAGCCTCCACAGTCCCACTGCAGCCTCTGCTGTGGAAAGGTGGCCAGGGAAGGAAGGGAGGATAGTCAGGGGAAAAAGGATAACTTTAGCACTGTTGGCATCATGCTGCAGGCAGGTACTGTGCCCTCCATCCACTCCCTGGAGCCGTGCAGCTGAGGAAGCTGGTCTGAGAGCAACATGTTCAAAAAGCTGCTGCAGGGCCCTGCCAAACCACCTGGCCTGAATTCACAGCCTGAGGCTGACACTCCTTTAGGCACACGAATGAAGATGTAGAGCTCTGGTGCTCAGACAAAAAGTGTGGGCCTTTCTGACACTGTGAAACTCAAACCTAAGAGCAAAATCATTCCTTACTGCTGTGGCACTGAGCCCACAGCACGGACCTCTCACCTTCATTACCATGCAAGTCAAACGTGTCACCAATGTAGATGATGGCCCAGGAGAGGAATCTCCTTGGCAGATTTGATGCCTTGTGAGACAATGTAGATGTCGTGGAGGAGATCCTGTGACTTTGCTTCCTTGGCAACCTCAGTGCCAGGAGCCTGAACATGCCACTGGCTCTGTATGGCATCCAGCTTCGTTCATCCAGTGCTCCAGCCCTGGAGAGGAAGCTGCCCAACTCTGCTGGTGGCCTTGGTGGTGACAGCAGCTCTGCATGGGTCTGTGCTCTCCCTGTTCCATGTGCTCTGTGATGTCCCAGCTCCGCAGGCAGAGCTGGTTTTGCTCTCAGCCCTGAGGAATTAGGGTTATGAAATGTGTTCTGCCGGCTCTGGCTGACGACATCAGTTGATTTCTCAGGCTGACAGGGAGATTTGCAAGCTTAAGATGGCTTACAGGTCCTTATTTACAGCTCACAGGATGAAGCCCAGACCTAGACACCCGTATATTTGTGCTCAGAGGTTGAGCAAGTAAAGGAAATGTTTAAATATCTCTCCCTCCTCATGATTCCCTGCCTGTGGGATAGACTGTCCATCACAGGTACGAGTGTGAGGATGGAGCTCCTGTCTCTCCTTCACCGATGGCTCTGAGGAATCCCTGAATCCACATCATAGTGGGCGAGTCCCTG